GGGAAGGAGTCTTCACATCAAGGACCCTAGGACCATTAAGGGAGAAGAGCACAAGTAGAATGCAGGACCTTATTTATTGAAGTAAGGTGCATTGTTTTTGTGGACTAAGATGTACAACATTGTCTTTGTGGCTATATTATGCTAAATGATCTTGGTGGTCCCTGAGACAACAGTCCTGAGGCTCAAGGACCCAGCCAATGAGTCACTTTATCAGCAATTACAGTGATGTAAATGGACTAAATGATTCAATGAAAAAAAAGAGAGGATTAAAGAATGGATTAAAGACAAAAGCAAAAACAGAATCCAAGGATATGCTTAAACCCAAAGACAATGATAATAGGTTGAACATGAAACGATGAAAAACAAACAAATAAACAAAACCATGCAAACCGTAACCAAGAGAGAGCTGGAGTGGCAATCTCTGGGGGGCAGGAGTGGAAAGGGTTGGGTAAGAGTAAGAAGTTAGGATTAGGGCTGTGACTAGGTCTAGGTTTTGTGTAGTGTTAAGTAGTGTTATGGTTAGGATTATAGTTAGTGTTGGGGTAGGGGTTGGGTTAAGGGTTAGATCATGATCTAGTTTGGAGTTAGTTTGTTGTTTTGTTTTTTTCTTAAAATCTACTTGATTTCCTCTTTATTTGGAAGTTCTGTAACTGTGCTCTTCCCTTTTCACTTTGTGTTTCTATGCTATTGTTGCAAACTGATAACTCTAGTTCCTTATTTTCAGTCTTGTAGATTTGTTTTACCTTGAGTCCCTCTGGGTAGAGTACTAGTTAATATTGCCATGTATGTTAATCTCAGGCTGTTGTTGGTTCTCTGCCAAAGAACTCTACTTAATATTTTTTGTAAGGTGGGTCCAGTTTTTACAAATTCTTTTAATTTCTGATCATCTGGAAATGTCCTAACTTCACGAACATCATAATTGAAGAACAAATTTGCTGGATATATGACTCTTGGTTGACAATTTTTTTCTCCCAAAGCGTTACACATGCCACCCCATTTTCTTTTTGCCAGCATGGTTTCTGTTGCAAAATAAGAGCTTAATCATATTAGTTATCCTTTGAAAGTAACTTTTCATTTTTTCCAAGCTGCTCTCAGAACTCTTTCCTTGTTTTGGAGACTTTGATTTTAATATGCTTTGGTGATTTTCTTTTAGGGTCTATCCTATTTGAATTAAGTTTCCTGAATGCATATCCTCTCACCTTTCATAATGTTAGGGAAGTTTTCCTCCAACAACTCTTTCACAATTTTCTCTGGATTGGTGGTAATTTTTTTGTTTTGATTTTTTGGTCTCTTCTTGTTCTGGAATTCCAATCACAGGTTATTCCTCTTGATGGTGGTCCATGGACTTCTGGGGGCAAGACAGCAAAGTAGGCAGATGTGCTGAGTAGTGCTACAGTATCACAAATGTGAAGAGAAGCAATTGTTTCCTCTCAACTCTTACCTTTGATACACCAGGTAAGGATTTTGATACACCAGCCGCTGTCAGAGTCCAGGAAAAAGACAGTGCTTCACAAAATGCATAGCACACACTCACTTGATTTTTCTGACTATTTCTACCATGTCTTTTGAGTGTGGCTCCAAGTAAAATGGAATCCTTGACAACATCAATCTTTTCTACATTTATTACAATGTTATATATTGGTGCCATTGTGAGGATTTGTTTTCTTTACATTTGAGTTGTAATCTTTACATTTGAAGACTGTATTCTTTGATCTTTATCAACAAGTTCTTCAAAGTTTTCTTCACTTTCAATAAGCAAGGTTGTGTCATCTGCATACTGCAGGTTGTTAATGAGTCTTCCTCCAACCCTGAAGTCATGTTCTTTATATAATCCAGCTTCTCATTTAATTTGCTCAGCATACTGATGGAATAAGTATATTGAAAGATATAATCCTGGCACACACCCCTCCTGATTTTAAACCACTCAGTATTAACTTATTCCATTCAAATGACTACCTCTTGGTCTGCATACAGGTTCTGCATGAGCGTAATTAATTGTTCTGGAATTCCCATTCTTTGCAATGTTATCCATAGTTTGTTATGACCCACAGTGTCAAATACTGTTGCATAGTCACTAAAACACTAACTAGCAGATCCTTGGAAACCCTATACAAAGTATCTATAAATCAGAACCAACTCAATTGCACTTAACAACAATAACAACAAACATCTCTCTGATATTCTCTGCTTTCAGCCAAGATCCATCGGATATCAGCAATGATACATACCCCTCATTCCACATCCTCTTCTGAATCTGGTTGAATTTCTGGCAGCTGCCTGCTGATGTACTACAGCAACCATTTTTGAATTATCTTCAGGAAAATTGTACTTGTTTATGCTATTAACGGTTGTTGTTGTCAGGTGCCATCGAGTCGGAACCGACTCATAGCGACCTCATGCACAGTGACCCCATGCACAGCAGAACGAAACAATGTCCAATCCTGGGCCAACCTCACTACCGCTGCCACACTTGACGCCATCAATGATGCCACCTGGC